TGTGTAGGTTTGATCCCATGCATCCATTTTTGGAAGAGATCACATCTCCTCCCCACTAGGGGCCACCCCACAATGTCCCACAGCACATCCCCGCCGTGTATTGTGAACATCTCCCAATGATATTACAAAAACCGATGATGTTATTATCGGGAGATATTCCCGATACACAGCAGGGATGTGCTGTGGGACGTGGAGCGGCCCCTAGTGGGGAGGAGATGTGAGCTCTTTTTGGAGGCGTGCCCAATGACCATCTCAACTATTAAGTCATCATCAATGATTGGACTTGTACTTATAAATTATAATCTATGTCTTTCCTCTAACCAACAAACCCAATATTGGTGGGAACCTTGTGCTCTAGGTTGCCCTTTATTAACCGTTACGGTAGTTACGGTTCTGGGTGATTCTAATTTCTTGGTGGTCATTGCTTTTCATCTCTCATGCCTTTTCAGACTCTGTCTTTACTTTTGCGAGGCACTACCATCTTTATCCCTTACTTTCAGTGATTGGAGATGCGTTCACTTGTTTCTTCTGTGGGTGATTCTGCCTCACGTTATGATTCTGTCTCACTTTATGTTGGTTGCAAAAGTTCTTTTTTTTTATCCTTTATCCACTGTGTCTATTTCGTTCTTTCTAAGGAATTGTATTAGCAGTTTTTTCTTTGGTATTGTTTTTACTTCTCTATATTCATACAAGTATCTTAGATTGAATGAAATATGACTTTTGACATAAAAAAAAAACATTTTGGAGTATATTTATTTATTTATGATATGTATATGACTAAACCGAACTCACATCTATGCATAAATATGTACAAAACAACTATAATATGCATGTTATTATGTGTATTATCTATATTTTGTTACTGAATTGGATTATGTGGTCTAGAAGAAATTAAAATACATAAATTATATGGTACAAACCTTTAAAACCAGACTAACCCAACCAAGTCAGATCAAACAAAATATTATCTATTTTTTATTTTGCGTTCTGCTTTTCCTATTGGAATTACCAAAAAAGAAAAATCAAACAAAGCCATGGGGTAGACAGAAAATTGCAAAATTAGATTGCAAGAGAGTGAGTTCGCATCAGCTGAATTTGTAACCAAATGGAATGTAATGCCATGAAGAATATCCTAAAAGTCTATGAAGAAGTATCGGGGCAAGCAATCAATTTTTAGAAGTTGGGTGTGTTTTTCAGCTCAATTGTGCCTTAGGATGTGAAGGCTAGAGTGACTATCGTGTTGGGGGTTGTTAGTCCTATTAAGACAGGGAGGTACTTAAGCTTGCCTTCTCTGATAGGTAGGAAGAAGAAGGAAGTCTTCAGATTTATCAGGGATCGTCTATGGCAGAGATTGCAGGGTTGGAAGAATAAGCTTTTGTCTCATGCAGGTAAGGAGATTTTAATTAAATTTATGGCTCAAGTTGTCCCCTCCTATTGCATGAGTACCTTTATGATTCCTGTCTCTCTTAGCAAAGAGTTTGAGAGAATGATGAACTCATTTTGGTGGGGTAATTCCAACTCTAATGGCAGGGGCATTAAATGGCTTAGATGGGAGAAGCTTTGTGTAAGGAAGGAAGAAGGTGGTATGGTGTTTAGAGATATGCAAGATTTCAACTTAGTAATGCTTGCGAAGCAAGGTTGGAATATCCTTTCCAACCTAGATGCTCTTGTTTGTTGTGTTTTCAAGGCTAAATACTTCCCCAGGGGGGATTTTCTAGCAGCCCAATGTGGGCATAATCCAAGTTATACTTGGAAAAGCATCTGACATTCTCGCATTATTTTGGAGAAGGGTTATAGGTGGAGAATTGGGAATGGGCAGCATATCCGTGTGTGGGATGATCCGTGGCTTAAGGAGATGGGCAATTTTAAGGTTGATTCGCCTAGAGTTGAGGGGCTTGAAGATATTGTGGTTTCAGACCTATGGATTCCAGGCCACAAGGAATGGGATGTCGAAATGATTCATGAGCTTTTCGGCCCAAGGGATGCTAGTGCAATTTTGAATATACCCTTGTCTTTATGCTAGTCAAGAGGACCGACTAATTTGGCATTTCTCACCAAATGGGGCATATTCAGTAAAGTCAGGATATAGGGTTGCAAGGGATCTTAATACCACTATCTCTCAAGCTGTTATTTCGAGTGGATGGGATAAGCTGTGGAAACTTCCTATTCCGCCTAAGGTGAAGAGCTTTGTTTGGCAGGTTTGTAAGGAGTGTTTGTCCTGTAAAGACCAGCTTGTTAGGCGTGGCATCCAGTTAGATACTTCATGTCACCTCTGTAATACTAACGTTGAAAGTCTGAGCCATGTCTTGTTATCATGTCCGTATGCTCAAGCTTGTTGGTCTAAGGCTAGCATCAGCGTAAATGTGTCAAATCACGCCTCTTTTGCTGATTGTCTTCTTGAGTTTTTAGCAAAAACTGATTATGACAATTCTAGACGTGCTTGCATGGTTTTGTGGAGCATCTGGTCTCAATGTAACTCCAAGCTGTGGAGGAATAATTTTAAGCTGCCTGATCATGCTGTTACTGGGAGTTTGCAGCTTCTCCATGATTGGAAGCAAGCTCAAATACAGAAGCGGTTGGGCATGGTTATTAATCTTAACCACCAAGGTAACGGTAATTGGCGTGCTCCCCCTCCTGGTTCCTTCAAGTGTAATGTTGATGTTGCCTCTTTCACGATTTGTAACCTCATTGGGTTTGGGATAGTTATATGTGATGAGCTTGGTGCTTTCGTGAAAGGTTACACGTCCACAGTTCCTGGTCTATTCGTCTCGAAAGAAGGGGAAGTAATGGCCCTTATAGCAGCAATTAAATGGGTGACCAGCATGGATATCCAGAATGTGATATTTGAAACCGATGCCCTAGTAGTATGGAAAGCCCTTCATGCTACAGCTTCGGACCTATCCGAATTTGGCTCCCTCGTTCATGAGTGTTCCTTGTTGTTACATCAAGGTGTAAACTTCTTGGTGGCTTGTGTCAAAAGGCAAGCTAACACCGTGGCCCACAGCTTAGCTAGGGCTTCTTGTCGTTTCGTTAATCCTTGTATCTGGCATGAGCCTCCAACGTTTGTGGAGGACTTGCTTGTTTGTGATATTTCTGGTTGATTAATGCATTGTAGTTTATTCTCAAAAAAAAAAAAAGCATAATTTACTAATTTAGACAGAAAATTGCAAAATTAGATTGCGAGAGAGCGAGTTCACATCAGCTGAATTTGTAACCGAATGGTGTTTATTTGTGGTTTTTAAGTATAATTTACTAATTTAGTAAGGAGGCCTAATCATTTAAGGTTTTTTAATTAACTATTTTTTAAGTGTTAACATTTTTAATTTGACAAAATGTGGATACTCCGGGGGCGTTATAGTAATGCAATGTCCCTTCTCTGTGGACAAAATTCTAGATATGCACTTATTGCTGTGGAATGTCATCAAGGGACATTAACAAAATATGATTTTGTCCATTTGGCTCTATTTGTTTGTAGTGCAAATCTGAACAAATGCAAATTTTGCAGCCGGTTCAGTTTAGCATCTATTTGCTTGTAATTATGATTTGCGCTCTTCGTAAAAAACTGTATTTTTATCTCATTTGCACTTTCAGGGGGTGTAAATTGATGCAAAATTTGCACCACCTTTCTCCATCAATTTTCTCTTATTTATAGTTTGACCACGTTTCTTACCTCGCTACCAAATTAACAACCCTCCTCTACCCCTATTTTATTTCATATAAGTAGAAATCACATCATTTTACTTTCTATTTTGTATATCAAAAACAAATAAGAGAAAAGTAAAATATGAAGTAAAAGAAGTAACATTTGCATTTTCATACATTTACACTAGTGTAAAATTGCAAATGAGATGACCCTTCAGAAAAAAAAAATGTTAATGCGGTCTGTTTAATTATTGCAATATAGTGGCTGCAGGTAAATATTAGGGAGAATGACTGATCAGCCCAGCTCAGAATTCTTTAGGCCCACTGTACAGGGGGCATGAATCTGCCCATGGATTGATGCCAAATCCATAGGCAGGATGCGGTTTATAGGGGGATACTAGTAGACTATGGGGGCTGTAATTAGAATTCTGCAGTGAGCTGCAGAGTATTTTTCCCTAAATATTATGCACCCGTTTGAAAGGGCTTTAACATCGTTGCCCTTGGCTTTGTGAAGTGGGGCCCGCATCCAACCCATAAGCAATGTTTGGTATAACAGGAGAGGCCGAAATTGATTTTTTTAAACAACTCGTGCTATCTCTCTTTAACCTTCATTTAGTGGCTTCTTTAGTGCAGCTCAGTAAAGCAACCTAACCAAAATTTGTGCTTCTTCAAACCAAGATTGCCGAGTGTTGGTGATAAATAGCAATGTGTTTGTGGATGTGTTAGAAATAGGGTTGTAACTTGTAAGGTACTATGATCTAAATCAAGTTTATTTATCCATAAAAATCCTTTTCTTTATTCTGGAATCTATTATGACTTCTTATTTTTTTTCCTTAATCTTCAATACTATTGCTAGTTTGAGGTGATATTCCTTGTGTAAATTTGATGGCCTTCTTCAATCTCATTTATGTCCAATTGGTTGTTTATTAAGCCCATTTACTGATTTACATTTGAAATTCTGCTTTTGATTTAAAAATGAGTAAATCATCATTTATCACTCATTAGTTGTTTACATGAGTATTTTTCTTTATACCTTTTACATTTTAAAACTTTCATAATAACAAAAATACCCCTCACGCCAATATTCAAAGATAAGATCTAATCAGGCCTCTAAGTATCATCAGACTTGGTTTAGAAGTATAGACTTAGAGTGTTAGAGGGCTTAACCAATTCTTTATTCGTATATTTACGGGATTAAGATCATCCTTAGATTTATTTGCTATTTTTTTTTTCTAAGGGTTGGGTTCTGAATTTTATCATCACATCATGCTAAAAATTTTTAAGTGGCATGTGACAAATTCAAAAGTAAGAAAGCAGAGAGTTTCTACCAACCAAAAATGAAGAAAGAAAAGAAAGTAGGAAATAAGATATGGGTTTTACTATGCCTAATTTGAAATGTCGTTAGTTACAAAAATGCCTCTGGATTTATCTATATATTACAATCTCACCGCAGGATTGGATCAACTCCCTGACCTCCTAAATAAAATGAAGGAAAACTAAACATTTAGGTAAAACAAGAAATGTTTAAGTTGATCCTTTGGATAGGGTCAGGTTGAAAACCGAGGTGTTAGTGGTGGTATAAACAGTAAATATTTGGGGTGAAGATTGGCTTATAATTTCTCATTTAGATAGTTTATACAGATTCCCCGGTTTGAAACAGACTATCAGTGTAAAATGGGCACCAAGTCTTGCAAGTCCTTCACAGCTTGGTTAACCGCATGAAGAATCATCTTCTTTACCTGTTCAACATGAGAGAATCAAGAAAATAATGAATCAACCCAACCTGTAAAATAATATGAAATATATTTAAGGTTGTAGGTCCAGAAGTCTGGGCTGGATCAGCTCATGATCACCCCTAGGCCCTAGCCCAAAGTGACCCTTGAGTATCAACATACTTGATACTGTGATTTGTCTGATTGGTAAGGGTTGCTACAGTAGGGGCAAACTATAGCGGCTGAAACATGGAAAAGAGTTTTTTTTTTCCTTGGCTGAAGAACATGCAAAGGTTCTTTACCTCTAGTTTATCTTCTCTGGCCCTGTGATTTTTGGGAAGTTGCCGGAACTCATCAGACAGAAGGAAGCACTGGTGGATATTTTCAGGTGAGACAAAGTCAAGAGCAACTTTGGTGCATGACTGTTGCAGGTTGAGAAACAAAAGAATCAAAACATTGCCCAATAAGCAAGAAACTAATGCGGGTCAAAATCTGTTCTTTTTTTTTTGAAGATAAATTGCTTTGCTTAGTACCTTGAGATTTCGGACCTGATGTGGACATCCAGCAGGAATAAATACTGCTTCCCCAACTCTTTGCTCAAATGTCCATGGTTCAACCCCTGCAAAATTTAAGGACCCCCATAAGTTAATGAGAATCCAAAAATGTGTCTGAAATTTAACAAAAATAATGTGAATACATACCAAATTCCTCTTTTAGCTTCCTTTTGTGCTCCAGTGTCAAATAGAAAGCTTGGTCATGAATAGGATGAATAACCTGAATAAATGATAATAATAAAATAAACAGGGATTTTCAGAAACTCGTATTCTTGTATATCTGCAGCATTACAAGTAATTACAACATTACCTGCTCAACTGGAGAACAATAAATGTGCCTAAATTCTTTTGAATGCTTTCTAAGGTAGGCCTGTAGCTTACCACCATCTTCTCTCCGGAAGATGTCCCACAGAGCACCACCTGTTTCCTCATTGCTTCCTTCTGGGGGGAAGCCAGGAAAGGTTGTCTCTTGACTCTCTTCCTCATTATCTTCTTTTGAAATTCCAGTTGCTTCACTAGTTTCGATTGTCATGCTACCAACATTTGCAGTTTTGGATGTAGCATAAGARGTTTTTCTATTGGTGTATACTTCAAATTCAAAACATTCATCACTAACACGATCTAAGTGAATTGTACTCAGGTGCTCTCTTTCATCTTGAGCTCTATGCTTCTTTTTCAACTTATTTATTGCAGATTGCTGCTCTTTAGTTGGCACTACTTCTGATGAGTGTGTTAGAATATTCACCTGAATCAATTAGAAAATTTATTAGAAATAAAGGTAATAAAATACTTGGTGCTTAAACAGAGTATAAGCTTGTCAAGACAAGTTCAAATATGTTTCAGTGAATGTACTGTACTTGCAAAAGAATTAACTTTGATGGTGTCTTTATACATTCTACATATGACCGACCATAACCCAAACTATTCAGATGTTGTGTCACATTTTGGTTTTAGCAAGAGACAACAAATTACATTTGTTTGAACAAATCCAAAATCACATAACAAAATCATTTATAAGCACCAACTTTGGATAATTGGCAACAATCCCTTAACATACCAAAATGAAGGGCCTTGGAATTGCATTCATATCCCCCTCTTTTTTCTTACCAAAAAATAAAATCATTTTGCCTTTTCAGCTAACATGATTTGAGCAGCTATGGACTAAAAATGGAATCAGCATTTAAAATTTTTGACATCTAAAATAGAACTAGCACCCTCTCGCCAGCCATGGGTAAACTATTTCATCTATTTAGACTTGTAGAATCTGCAACTTTGGTGGGCCTAAACCATGCCTAGATTTGACCAACCTGAGCATTTGGATGGGTTGGGCTTGGACCTGAGAGATCAGGCTTGACCTAGCTTGGGTTGTGCTTGGATTGAGGCCTTGGACTAAACCATGCCTAGCTTGACCAACCTGAGAATTTGCATGGGTTGGGCTTGAATTTTGGGCCTTTGAATGGGCTTAGGCCTGAGATCAGGCTTGACCTAGCTCGGGTTGTGCTTGGATTGAGGCCTTGGCTTGGGTAGACTGATCCTAGCACATGCCCAGACCAATAAAACCCAACCCAGGCCCATTTGACCTTTTTAACATAATATGAACCCTTGTGTATTTGCACTATGTATATATGCATATGCTACATATTTATGATATGTTTGCATTTCTAGAATACTTGTTAAACTCTTCTTGCAGGTGGAAGGTTTATAATGTTTCAATTCTTTTGGAAACTTACAAACTAAATCATAATTATCCACTACAAAGAGGTAAAATTTCAGAATCTAAACAGATAATAGATGGGGAAATTTTTATAAATAATAGCACTAATATTTCCATTTTTGTTTATGGGTAACACATTTATGAGTAGAATCCATATCGTATTAATAAATAATCTGGTATTTGATGTACTATTTGCTTAAAAGGACAACAATATTGAGAAGCAATAATAATATTACTGGTTTAGATGGCAACATTGTTGTTGAGAAATCAAGATGTCATCTAATTGCTTGATGGCTATAG